AAACAATCAATGTTTGAATCAGAGCATTTGGGTTGATTTGCCTCCAGAGCTACTTCTTGACATTATCCAACGGATTGAGTCTGAACAGACTTTGTGGCCGGCGAGGAGAGACGTTGTTGCTTGTGCTTCGGTTTGTAGGTCGTGGAGAGAGATGACTAAAGAAGTAGTCAAGGTTCCTGAGCTCTCTGGTTTGCTAACTTTCCCAGTCTCCTTAAAGCAGGTTTACTTTCTTTTAACTCTTTTTTTTTCAGAACCATTGATTGAGAAATCATTTAAGTTAACTAAAAAAAAAACACTTTGGATTCTTGTCTTAGCCTGGTCCTAGAGATGCTCCAATTCAATGCTTTATCAAACGAGAAAGAGCTACTGGAATATACCGTCTCTATCTCGGTTTAAGCCCTGGTATAGTTTACTATAGTCTCCTTCTTCTTCTTACCTCTCTTATGAATTGAGTTTGGAGTGTTATATTACCTGCTTATGTATATATATAATTGCAGCTCTTTCCGGCGACAAGAGTAAATTGTTGTTATCTGCAAAGAAAGTGAGGAGGGCTACGGGTGCGGAGTTTGTTGTATCAATGTCTGGAAATGATTTCTCAAGAAGTAGCAGTAATTACGTAGGAAAATTGAGGTATGTAATTTGATTTTTTTGGCTTTGCCTTCTTTGTTTTATATCATCATGCCATTTATAAGCTTTGTTGTGTTGACAGATCCAATTTCCTGGGAACCAAGTTTACAGTATACGAAAACCATCCTCCTCCGATTGATTATGGAACCTCATCAAACCGCAAAACCAACAGAAAACTCCCTCCATCAATGCGTGTGTCTCCGTGGGTATCATCATCTTCTAGTTACAACATAGCTTCAATCTTGTATGAGCTGAATGTGCTTAGAACAAGAGGACCAAGAAGAATGCAATGTATCATGCACAGTATCCCGGTATCTTCAATTCAAGAAGGCGGCAAATTTCATCCTTCGCCGGCCGAGTTCACAAACAAAGGAAAGAAGAAGAAGAAGCCGCTGATGGATTTCTGCTCAGGGAACCTGGAAGGAGAAACTGTTGTAAAAGAACCATTAGTGCTGAAAAACAAGTCGCCGAGATGGCATGAACAACTCCAATGCTGGTGTCTCAATTTCAAAGGACGAGTCACGGTTGCCTCGGTGAAAAACTTCCAGCTAGTGGCAGCTGCAGCAGAAGCAGGGAAGAACGTGAACATTCCAGAAGAAGAACAAGACCGAGTGATATTGCAGTTTGGGAAAATAGGCAAAGACATTTTCACCATGGATTATCGTTACCCGATCTCTGCATTCCAAGCCTTTGCGATTTGCCTAAGCAGCTTCGACACAAAGCCGGTCTGCGAGTGAAACCAAAAAACATTATCCAAATCATATGTTTTATTGCAGTTTGTGGTTTAATGTACATACTATTTTTTTCCTCTTGGAGCAAACAATCAAAGATCTTTTCCTTCAACTTAATCTACTTTAAAATCTTAAATTACAAAAGCAATTAACTTTTGGTTTAGGCAAGGTATGTCTTAGTCTTTCTTTGGAAGCAAAAGATCACCACTACAAAACCCAATCCTCTTTTTCCATCTCAACCTTAATTTTCCAAAACAAGAACGTTTGCAACATTACCTACAAGACCAAAAATGAAAGCTTTTGTTAGAGGGTTATTAGCAAGAGCTTATGAGGATCCAAGGAAAGTGTGGAATCAGAAGAAGTGGGAATGGAAGGAATCGGCTGGTTTTGGTTGTGTTACTTCGCCAACGCCACCGCCACCACCGCCGGAGAAAGGGTTGGAGAACCTGACGGTGGCGGATGTGCTGATGATCAAGGATACAGACGGTGGCAAAGTTGAAACGTGGATCTCATGCCGTACAAACGACACCGTTTTTGACGCCGTTAAGAATGTATGTTCTACTCCTTTTATTTTTTCTTCCCAATACATCATTTTGCTCATCACGTTACGCATTAACATATTACTATTTTATGGATTTATTTTCCTATTTTATGAATCTTATTCTTCTTAAATTAGTGTGTTTTACCTTATGATATAAAGATACAGTCTTAAAAAGAAATGGAACAACCGTATAAGGACTTAGCAGTTTAGCTTATTTCATTTGCTAGATAACGTCAAGTACGTTGCCTACTCCACGTTGATATGCGTCCCACCGCTAATAAGACGTGGTTAATTTCTACATTCCTGCTTCTATTTGTGACATATATGATATATTTAATACAAAGACGTGAGTATAACTATGTATTTTATTTCAGGCACATACATATATATGATCAATCGGACCAATGTCTTGGACATGTTTTTGTATAATTGTATTTTATGCATTATAAATAACGTATAGATTAGATAGTACTGTATGTTACATACACCGATACACGTATTGAAATACATATGTGAATCGGTCCAATGTCTTGGATACATATACAATGTCTTCAAGTTTCTTAAATCATTTTTGTTTTGTTTTGGATATCTATTATCCAAAAATATTTGAAAGTAAATCATAGGGTGTATATATAAATATTTAATAATAACAACAATAATTAAAGAAAATGAAATTTACTACGTGTGGAGGATAGTATGGACCACTCATCTATTTGATTGGTTAACCACACTCAATTTTTTTTTATTACATAGCTAGATATATCTAATTATAATTTTGAAATTGGTTATCAGTCTAATTAACCCTTATTTTTATTAAACAAAAAACAGATGGCAAAACATAATATTGGATCGTTGGTAGTGTTAAAACCTGGAGATCAACAATGTATCGCCGGAATTGTTACAGAGAGAGGTAAAACTTTTTTTTTTGGAGAAACAAGAGAGATAAAATTCTATATAGAAAAATTTCAAAAAATATCACTTTTTAAAAATTATTTATTCATTATATCATTTATGTATGGGTTAACTAGTATTAGGGTTTAGTTTTGAAGGTTTAAAGGGTTTATGGGTCAAAAGATTTTTTAGAGTTTAGAATTTTAATATTTAGGCTCTAAAAAATCATAATT